CGGTTTGACCCTCCTTATGACCCTGGGGCTGCAGCAGGGTTCAGATACAACTGAAACACATTCAGTACTTGAATRTTGCCACATGGAGGCACTCAGAGTCCATGATATAATCAGTCCCTTGTGGGTCCTGCTGGCTCTGATCAGGCTGTGGGCTGATTCTCTGAGCCCGGGTCTGCGGCTCTGGAGCTATGTAGTTTTGGGTCTGTGGGACYGTGTAAGCAGACCGGGAGGGAGGAGGGGGCAACTGGCTGTAAATCAGGCCTAATTTGTTAACTGTCAGCACAACAATCTGTGTTTGGTTGAGAGGCAGGGGAGGGTGGGGACTGTCCACGGCCCCGAGCCAAGAGAGCTGGGCTGGCTTTGAAGGCAGGAGGAGATAGTCTGCCACTCATGTGGAGTTTCTCGGGGAGGCAGCCAGGCTTGAGGAGACTGCAGCATTAGGAAAATGAGTTCCAGAGGGAGATCTGCTCCTTCTAGACCCCACCACCTTTTTTTTTCCTTCCTGTGGACGGCAGCCATAATGTAACAGTTCTTCCTCCACRGGGGGTGGGGGGTGGGGGTGGGGGGGCTGATGCAGAGCATATGTGGAAGTGGTGAGGAAGTGTGAGGTGGTTTCAAACTAAATTTACTAAATGTGCTCAGAGGGACCCTACATGCTGAGAACAAGGCAGGACTTCCAGAAGGGTTAGTTCCCAGTTTGATGTTTGAGCACTTCCTGTCCCGTGAAACAGGACCTGTTTTAGACGGTTGATCCGGGTCACCTGGGATTTAATCCAGCTGTTGACTTCTCTCTAAACTAAACAGTCTGAAGGAGAGACTTCTGACAACCTAAAACCTTCTGTTAGCTTAAAAATAAGTTGGAGAGGTTTGATTCAGATGGAAACATTTATTGACAGGCAGCAAACAAAATTTGCGTATCTAAATTGAAAGCAACACAAAGATACAATGATAAAAGATAAAATGAGTATTTCTGGTTTTCTTCTTTGTAAATTGTGCATGTCTAACGTTGTGGTTGGAACAGACTTCTTAATGTTCAGTAGAGCAGAGATTAGTTACAGAGTTGTTTTGTTTAGTGTGGTCACAGAAGCACTCGTTTAATGCCTTATTATGGGTTTTTTTTTTGCAACCCTTGAGTGAACATCAGTAGGAGTGCTCCTTTAGTTTCTTGTGATGAGATTTAAACTCATCTGTTGTTAGGACGAGGGTCTAAATCTGAGGCCATGGTCCTCAGTCAGATACAGTATGTGTTTTAGGAACTCAGCTACTATCTCCGCATTTTTTGCCATTTCCAAATAAAGTCATATCAGTATAGTTGGTGTTGATTAATCAAAACGTTGTTTGGGGGGGCATAATTTAATGTAATTTACATGATGGGAGATTAAATATGATGTCATGTTAGTTTAATTATTTGACTCTATAGAAACCTTATTGAAAGTTTCCACCTTGTTGACAGTGAAAATATTGGGGAGCTGCTAACCATCCTCAGATTTACAGCAGTGAAACAGTAAAAACGCTCACAGCATGATGTTGATGTTTTCCCAGAGGAGGACCGGATCCATCAAGTTCTTCCTGCTCCTCAGATTAGAGCTGGTCCTCCTGGTCCAGCTGGTCCTGTTGGTCCTTCAGGTATGAATATTCAACACTTCCTGTCTAAAGGTTGTCCAAAAAAAAAGTTTAATGTCTTTTATCATAGACATTAAATATTCATATTAAATGGGGCACCAAGTGTAAAATAAAATGTTAGTCACAAACATATTTTTATTATTTAGTTCACTTTATGAGTGTAAAATCCTGGTTAAAAAACTTCCACTCATATTTTATTGTTATTTAGCTCACTGCTCTTACATTTTTCTAATTTTTACTAAATGTTCTATTTAAATCTTAATTGTTGTGGCTAAATTATAATGCTTAAGAATTTCATAACACAGCCTTTGCTGTTGGCGGAAAGCTTTTGTCATGATGTCATCATCCTGTGAAAAAAAGCAAATGCTAACGCTGCTAATGCTGCTGAAGATGGTATTTAAGATCTGAATTCAAAATGTGTTCAATAAAAATGATATATTTGGTACCTGTGGTCCAGAAGTTTGAAGTGCAGCTCAGACACCGGCCACAACGGCAAGTTTGATGTTGAAGCTTTATCTGCGTTCAGATGTTGGTTGGCTCAGGACAATGATGTAATAACAAAAGTGCGTTCTTTAAATTAAATTTTACCTGAATATTAAGTATATTCAGGTAAAATTGAATGCAAAAAAATACTTATATAGAGAGTTAATATTCCTTAAAGTAATATCAGCTGCAGTCTCACGTGCTAAAGTTTTAACACGTGTGCTCAGRGTTTGTTTTTAATGAATCTCAGCTACCTCCACACCACATTTCAACTCAACATCTGTAAAATGGACAGAGATTTAGCTATTTTTGTGTCTTCACACTCTCAACATGTGTTTCATCTAACAGATTTAACTGCATTTTGATCCGGTCTAAATATTGTTGTTTGTTTGTTTGTTTGTTTGTTTGTTTGTTTGTTTGTTTGTTTGTTTGTTTGTTTGTTTCCAGGCCCTCCAGGAGCAAGAGGCCCTGCAGGGACACCAGGTCTGCCAGGACAGGATGTGAGTGTCTGTCGCTGATAATAATGATCTCATCATTAGAAGAGTGGCGTGACTGAAACACCTCTGTTTGTCTAACAACAGGGAAAGGAAGGCCTCCCAGGTGGACCGGGCAGTCCGGGCCCCAAAGGAGACCCAGGGGAAAGGGTAAAAAAATCGTCCTTATTATTGGATTATCAGACCATCTGAACAGATTTATCTCTTATCAAAAGGCTTTTAGTTTGATAAAAACGGCCCTAGCTGTCATGCCGTTTGAATCACATTAAAGGGGAGAACAAGCTTTTCTTCAAAGACTCGCTCCAACTCGTGACTAATCCTTTTTTTCTCATCCAAGACCAAGCCTCTCTAATCAGGACGGTCTGGTCCCCCTCTGTCCTCAGATCTCCAGTTTTGAGACCTGAGAGCAAATTTTAAGATTGGATGCAGATTAACTCGGGGGATAACGAGCTTTTGAAATACATTAGTGTGAATTTAGAATGATTTCTCTTCCAGGGAGCCCCAGGAGCTGCGGGAGAGCAGGGCGTACCTGTAAGTACGAGGCAAACGTGTTGCATAAAACTCTCCTTGAACACGTTCAACAAGTCCTTTTCCCTCACAGGGAGCACCAGGACCGAAGGGAGAGCCGGGAGCAGGCCTGAGCGAGGTGAGAGGCATTACCATCTTGTCCTTTTTATTTATTTATTTATCTAACGTGCTGCTAATAAAGAGGGTTGTTTCAGGGCGAGGCCGTGCAGCAGCTCAGGGAGGCCCTGAAGATCCTGGCGGAAAGAGTCCTGATCCTGGAGCACATGATCGGGATTCACGGTGAGGAGCAGGATCACAGAGGTTTTACAAACATGTTAAAGTGTGAACTTATTCTGGCAGAAGGAGGTAAATTAGAGAATGGTTTGGTTTAATCCCATTTGTTGGACTTTTTGTTTTAAAAGCTGAGCTTTTGACCATTTATTTGCACCGTTTGTTGGTTTTAAAGCTCACGTCTACAGCAGGAAAACCAAGAGAAGACAGGCTTCGAAATGGATTTTTAAATGTTATGTTGAGCTAACAGGTCAATATGTCAACAGAAAACCTTGTTTTCTCATAATAACCAGCATCGACCTCTGCAAATTATGGACACAAATATTTAGCCTCACTCGACCATCAGACCATCTGGGACTGTAAGGAGCTTCCACTCTTTCTGTCTTTCCTCGAGACGTGTTTCTGTCCCCAACACTCTGTCGAGCGTTTAGGAGGCCAGGTGCTGGACGTAAAGTTTTGACTCACGAGCTTCGGTTCCAGTTCATCCCAAAGGTGCTGGGTGGGGCTGAGGTCATCGTTTCCTCCACACCTAACTCATCAAACCCTGGAGCAGTCGTGTTGGAATAAAATGTGTTCTAATAAAGGCAAAAGCAGAAAAATATGTCTGAAAAGTCTCCGTGTGGATCGCTTGACTGAAACGTCTTGTGGTAGCCAAAACCAAAAAGAAAACAAAAATGGAAAAGTTCTGAGTTCACCTGCTGCTTTGTTTTACATCTAACCTTCTTGTCTCTCAAAATGTCCAACAATCCCTGTGAACCAGTGTTGGACTGCCCGGCTCCAGCTGACTCTTCTGTTGTTATTTTCCACAGAGAGCTCTGAGGGATCTGGATTCGGTGGCCTCTCTGACCCCTTGTTGTTCAGCCTGAAGACGAAGCGTCAGCCCGTTCCTCAGACTCCGCTGCTAATCCAGAGGCAAAGACGGGTCCCCCTTTAATGCTGCGCTAGTGGTTTTTTATTTTTATTTTTTCATTTGTGTGTATTAATATGAGAAGTTTTGGGGAAAAAAACTTGCATAAATGGATGTTTTTGTTTTTTACGTTTTTATTTGTCAGATTTGGTGCTCATTTAACCGACTCTTCTGACACAAACCAGTACTGTTGGTGTGAGATGTTGAACATTTCCTCCACGAGAAAGAATTCCTCCATGGTGGTCATCATGTCTTTAGGAACTGTTTACACCGTGTTTTACAAAAAAAAAGTTTCTTACAAACCTCATAAAGTAGAATGAAGGTTTGTCGTCTTTCTGAACGTCAAGCAAACAAATCTGTTTTCTTCTTTTGGCAGGTTTTGGACACAAAATGTTCTGTTTCACCTCGTGTGCTCGTGTTTCTGTCGAACACCGTTTTGATTTTCTCATCTTTCTGTCTTTCCACACCGTCGGTAAAGCTCATGTTCCTCCCAGAGTATCTGCCTAAGATAAAAAAAAAGGAGAGCACATCTGGAAATCTGAAGGAGAGTGTTGAGGTCCGGCCCGAGAAACTTCGAAAGCTGACAGGATTGAATTGACTCGTTGAAATACTCCTCTGAGGTTTTTCTTTTCTGGACCGATTTCTGTACAAGAAGTCTCTGAGAGACGCAGCTGTTTGTTTCTGAATAAAGATCTCCCACCATGTTCGTTACGACCTTTGTTTTCTCCATCATGAGACTCACGTGTTAAAGACATTCGAAGAAGCTGCTCGCTTTGGCCGAGAGTTGCAGAGAGAATCAACAGAATATGTGTGTGTGTGTGTGTGTGTGTGTGTGTGTGTGTGTGTGTGTGTCTTTGTTACCTTGTAAGGCCCACTTTTCAAAAACATACTAGCTTGTGAGGACCCTCTGCTCCTTATGAGGCCCAAAGCTTGGACCCCATTATGAGCAGTGCCGCCTTTGGATTGAGGTGGCTGTAGCGGAGTGGTTAGGGGAGTCATCCTGGAACTGGAAGGTCGCTAGTTCGATCCCCTGTCCAGCCACCTCAATTGTTGTGTCCTTGGGCAAGACACTTCACCCGCCTTGCCAAGGTGACCAAGGTGTAAATTAAATTTAGGAACGTGTGAGGTTAATTTTAGGGTAAATGGTCAGGGTTAGGATATAAAATTTAAAAAAAAGAATGGAAGTCAATTTAAAGTCCCCACAAGGATAGAGAGACATTGTGTGTGTGTGTGTGTGTGTGTGTGKGTTTTTCCTACAACGTGGGGAAAATTTTACCAAAAAAAAAGCCTGTCCAAATGCAAATTACGGGTGCAGGGTTAGGTTTAGGACCAAGGTTTAGATTAGTTTTTGGGTAAATGGTCAGGGTTAGGCTATAAAGCCAAAAAATGAATGGAAGTCAACGCACGGTCCCCACAGGGTTGAAGAACAAATGTGTGTGTGTGCAAATACAAACCAGCAAACACAAAATACAACAATGCTGAACTCCTGTTGGATCATTCAGGCCAAGATTCTGAAGTGATCGTGGAAAATTGTTTGACTAAAGATAATTTAAAGTTGAGTTTTAAAGATACCAAAATAAAACCTTTGTTTTACAGCGTATAATGCAGAACAAACACTTTGGGTGTTTGATGTCTGCACACACGAGGAATAAATGAGTAATAATGTTGAACTCCAATTAGAAAATACGTAAAGTCTCAGAATTTCATAACGTTTATGGTCTTAAGTCTCAAAAAAGTTGGACCATGAAAAAATAATCCAGTGATTTTCAAGTCTCAACAACAACACTTCCCTCTGAAAAGTGCAGCTTTGCAAACATGATCCTGACCCACCTGTTTTAGCTGCATTGCTGCCACAAAATTATTGGTGTTATTTTTTTAAACCTGTCTTGGTCTCAGTGGATGGATTTAAATGAGAAGCAGATGACGTCACAGCGCATCTAGCCTACAACTGAAAAACCTTTGGAGTCAACTCCATTCAAGATGGCCGCCACAGACTCAGTCAATTTTATCGAAACTGAGCTCAGATTTGACAGTATTTTTATTTAAAAAGCTTTGGCTTTAACTGTTGTAATCAAAAGGGAAAAAAAATTGTATAGGTCTTCTGGACGGGTTCTTCTTTAATGAAACGTTTCGTCTCTCTTCCAAGAGACTTCTTCAGTCTGAGAGTTTCAGGCAAAATTCAGGCTTTTAAGTCCTGCCTCCAGGTGACTGATACTCACATCACATGGCTATCGTTCACAGGTGACTCATACTCACATCACATGGCTATGGTTCACAGGTGACTCATACTCACATCACATGGCTATGGTTCACAGGTGACTGATACCCACATCACATGGCTATGGTTCACAGGTGACTGATACTCACATCACATGGCTATCGTTCACCCTAATTAATACCTATTGTTAACAGAGGGTGGAGTGATACTAATGACAGCGCTTGTTGTAATCAAACTTTTCTGTCTGGGTGTACAACCACAACTGATTAACTTTGGGAGTCGACGCAGTTCAAGACGGCCACCAAAGCCAACCGGCACTGGTCAACACAAAAACGGCTACAACGCTGACAGTTTTGCAGATACTGAGCTAAAATTTGGCATGGTAGTAACTGAGAGTCATCCTCAACACATAATCTGAGCTCAGCTTTTAATTCACCTGTGAGCATTTCATTTCCTCATTTTGGGCCGAGGCCTTGACGAGCTGGTTCTGATAGTCGCACTCCTCTCTTCTTCATGGATCCTTTCATCTCTCCCATGTCTCTCTCGTTGTGTCCCCTCCTCCTCCCCCTCCTGCTCCTGTCTGTCTCTCCTCTTGTTTTTCCTGTCTACTGAACAGAGACGTGTTGATACGAGGGCCCTGCTCGGGGTAGGTGGGCACCAGGGAACAGGTCTCCGGTGCTTTTGATCAGCTGCAGGATCAGACACGTCCACGGTGCTCTCCGGTGACTGATCATGCAGCAAAGTGCACACATACAGACAACCCAAGACACACACACACACTTGTTCTCCCTGTTCATCATACAAACATGGGCGCACACACAGTGTCGAAGACCCGCGTGTGTCCACCCCCCCGGCTCGCAGCAGGGGTGGCTTGCTCACCGGACACAAGGGAGTGAAACAGAGATGGTGTGTGTGATTTTTTTCCCCTTTTCTTGCCCTTTTTTATTTTTTTGCTTTTGACAGTAAGATGGATGATTGCAATCACAGGAGCCATCAGTGAGACAGAGCGGAGGTCTGCTGGGCCGGGAGACACAGCCATGGGAAACCAGCCGTCAGATTAATGCGCCGCGCTGCCATGGGAACAATGTGCTGTTTATTTGTCTGGAGGTTTCGTTGTTTCATATGTATTTTCAACCTTCTCTCTCTCTCTTCTCTCTCTCTGCAGCCTTTTGATGCGCGGAACATAAAAAGCMCGCTCATAAAATGCGTGGCAGGCTTTGTGAAAAGTGGGGACACAGGAAGAGATTGTTTACAGCACACTGGAAGTCAGTGCATCTTTTCAAAACTCAAAAAATGTCCGATTTTACAGCGATTACACGGGGGGTCTTTGATCGCCCCGGAGGAGAACGACAGGCAAGACTTTTCGTTCCGTAGTTAACGGATTGTTTTAAGAGAAACATCTGTTGCTCTACAAATGAGATTAGTGCGACTGTAGCCGAGGGGGGCGGAGGTTATGAATGGCACCGCTGCTGACGAGGAGGCCTGCCAGAGAGGGATCTCTGTAACGAGACGAAACTGGTGTTTAAATGGGTCTAAACCGATTGAGACGGCCTTAAATTCTGGGTATTCATTAGTGCTGACGGTATTTAACCGTGAACGGAGCGTTTGTATCTCTGAATCACTGCCTCGTATTGATACATCCAGTATTTCACCTTGTTGCCAAGCAACTACTCACCTCCTGCTCCATAAACTTGTCAGCCTGTGACACCAGGTGATATTTCATCCTGCAGGGGAGCACCGGCAAGAGAAGAGTTACGGCTTTTTGGATTATTCCTGATCAGTATTTCAGCAACATTTTCTGCGTATTCAACGAGGAAGATTGCGATTTATTAGTTTAATTTAAAGTTATCTGCGTGATAGGTTCCTCCTCTCGTCTTCCTCCCCACCTCCCAGATCCTTCTGGGTCAAAGGCCTTTGGGGATCGTCGGCTCAGGATCGACTCGATGAAACACAAATCAAGCTGCAGCTCAGGATCACAAAGGCCCAGCTGCACCAAAACCTGACCCAGATTCTGGACAAGTAAACGGGAAAAGTCTGACGTTTGGGAAAAGGTTATGAACAAGTAATATCTTACCTGTTGCAGATAGATCGAATGGGGATTGCCATCGTCTTAAAGCTTCACCTTCACAGTACAGAATAATTTAGTTTGAATGTGATGTGTGTTTGCACAATGTAGCAGCTGCAGCAGATAGCTGTAGCATTTCTTGTGCAGCCTGAGACACTCTCTGTAGAAATATTAAAGGGGGCATATCATGCAAAATCCACTTTTTATTTTTTTCTTGTTATGAATTTAAAGTTTCTAAGAGTTGAATGTAGTCTCTCCTGGTGCTGCAAAAATACCTTTATATTCTGTTTAGGTGATATTTTTCAGCCCGTTCAGTTTTCTCTATTTTCCATGATGTTTTCTGAGTCTATTATGTTAAATTATCTGCGACAGAATTGTCAAATATGGTCTGGACTTACCAACTATAATTTCCTCATTTTAATTCTCCTCTGGTTCTGGGTCAGACTCTGGTTCTGGGTCAGACTCTGGTTCTGGGTCAGACTCTGGTTCAACATGTCAGGCTGGATGAACAAACCTTCTGTTGTTGACATCTTTTAATTAAATTGTAAATAAAACATTTCTGCAAGCTAGAAAACATAACCCCCCCCCCCCCAGTCCCCCCTCTCTCAAACCGGAGTGGACCGGTCATGAAGCCGGAGGGGGGCGGGGCTTGAAGCTTCTTAAAGCAACAGTAACAAAACAAGCTGATATGACGCACACAAGAGAAAAGAGAACAAAAGAAGGTGAAAGAGGAGCTGGTAAAGTTAGAATAAGAAGAAATTCAGACCAAAGCATTGTAGTTCCACTTTATAAAGGCCCCAAATAAATTATTTAAATGTGAAAAGGAAGGATTTAAAAGCATGAAATGTCTCCTTTAATACATTTCTGCCAAAGAAACGTGTAATCTGGAATTAAAGGCATTAAAGAGATTTATAAAACAAATGGGTCAAATTGTTTGATTGGAGTTGTTTCAAGATGACAGCTGCAGAATGAGCCCAAATTATCAGCCACCCACCACTGTGGTTCACAGCTGATATGAGCTGGCTGCACTGAAAACATGATTAGCATCATCCTGACTGCAGCACCTTCATCTGTTCTCTAAAAAAATACTCCTGAAATCAGTAAATTATCCTGATTAACATTATTAAACTTTTCAAATACATAAAAGCATGTCAAATATAAGATTTAAGACTATAAGAAAATAAGACTTTAAGAATATAGAATAAAACAATTTAGAAAGTAAAATCAGAGACTTTGTCAGTCAAACTCTCTGTTTGTAAATCTATCTACAACAGGTAAGATATTAACTCTGCTGCAGAACAGCAAAAACTAAAGATGACAAAAATACATGACAAAAATAGGAATATGTATTTTTAATGCACTTTACTCAACTATAAGTGCTTATACAGC